ACCACTGCGGTCACGGACTCGGTGTACCAGAAGATCATGGACAAGGATACAGCACACGATACGTGGGAAGCTCTGAAAAATCAGTTTGAAGCAACAGCGAAGGACCAGGTATTCAGGATATGCAACGAGTTGTTCGCTTTCTCTTGGAATCCAGGTAACGATGTATCGACCCACATAGCCAAATTGCGTAGTCTATGGAACGTTTTACATCAAGCTTTGAAGGCTAATGAAACTGAGCTGGCAGATTTAATACTTGTTCGTAAAACGCTACATATTTTGCCAAAAACCTTTGAAACGTTCCGGCAAAGTTGGATGCTCTTGACAAAAGAAGAAGAAAAAGACTTTCAACGAGTTAACTAATCAAATTGTCATGTTTGAGAGAAATTTTAGAAGAAAAGAAAATGACGAAAAGGAAATCCAGTAGGCTTTTTCTACCATACCAAAAAAGGAGCATCGTCAGGATTCAGAAGCATCTAGTCGGAGATTAGATACCTGCCGCTATTGCAAGAAAAAGGGACACTGGATCAGGAACTGCATAAAATGGAAGAAGGATGGACGTCCGAAGCCGAGCTACCAGAATGCTGAACAAGGAAATTGTGCAGAACCAACGTTAACTCTCGTCTCAGTTCACAATAGCGTGTTTGCAGCAGAGGCAAACTCAGAGGTCGGCTGGTGGATAGACAACGGTGCAACAAAACACGTTGTGAAAACTGCGAAGTATTTCGAGCATTTTGAGAAGTTTGAGAATCCGAGTTGGATCAGAGCAGCTGGAAATGAAATCTTGTCAGCTTTGGGCCAGTGCACAAACAAAGTCAAAACGATTGTCAATGGAAAAATTCTTTTTCTTTCTTTGAAAAACGTATGGTTTGTTCCCAATATAATGAAGAACCTGTTTTCAGTTTTGGCTGCCCAAGACAATAATCCAAGTAGTCGTTTTGAGTCGTCAGCAACCGAGTGCACCCTCAAAATAAACGACAAGATTGTCCTTGTTGGAGCCAGAGAAGTTGGAGGAACACTCTACAGAGCAGCGATCGAGCCCCTACTTCCAGAACGAAACGTCGATGTCAACGTCGCAACTTCAGGAACTTCAATTCTCCAACTCTACCACGAGAGGTGGGGACATCAGGACAAGAATCACATCAAGGACATGCTCAAAAGAGAAATGGACATTCAAATCAAGATTGAGAGTAGCTTTTGCGAGCCTTGCATCCTTGAAGAGGTACCTGGTAGCTTTTAAGGATCATTTCACCAGGTTTCGATACGAGTACATCGTCAAACAGAAGTCAGAGGTCAAGGACGTGCTGCGACACATGGTTTCTCACGCCAAGCAACAAGGGCACACAATTCGGGAATTCCTGAGCGACAATGGAGGAGAATTCGACTGTGCAGGAGTAAGAGGAACTCTTCAGGATGCTGGTATAACTTTTCGACTCACCGCTCCCTATACTCCAGAACAAAACGGTGGTGTCGAGAGAGAGAATCGAACGATAGTCGAGAATGGCGAGAACTTTCAAGTATTCTAATACAGAAATAAAATTTCCAGAAGCAATTTGGGCCGAGTTGGTCAGCACAGCAGTCTACGTTCTCAATAGGACGGGCAAATCTTCATTGAAGGGTTTGAGCCCTTACCAACTTTGGCTGGGCAAGAAACCAAGAATCAAACACCTTCGAATCGTAGGATCGACGTGCTATGTTCACATTCCATGCCAAAAAAGGAAGAAGATGGACGAAAAAGCTGAAAAGGGGTACCTGGTGGTTACGACGGCGATGAGAAATATCGTATTTACTTACCAGAGAAGCACGTATCACGCACTACGTATCAGCAGCCGAGACTTTTGTGCTGGAGAGTCCAGATTCCTTCCATTAAGCCATCAACAGCAACGTCGAGTGGAAAAAGGCAATGGACAGGGAAATTGATTCCTTACATCAGAATGATACTTGGGACTTGACAAGACTCCCCAGAGGATCGAAAGCACTTCCGTGCAAGTGGGTCTATCGAGTCAAAACCCACCCCGACGGAAGTATCGACAAATACAAAGCTCGCTTGGTCATCAAAGGATTCGCCCAGAGACGAGGGATTGATTACGACCAAACTTTTAGCTCTGTCGCAAGAATGGAAACAATCCGCTCAGTGTTGAGCGTTGCAGCCAAAAATAATATGTTTTTGGTCCAGTTTGACGTCTGGACAGCTTTTCTATACGGTGAATTGGACGACAAGGAGATTTACATGCAACAACCTGAGGGATACGAGCAAGGTCAGGGGCTTGTTTGCAGATTGAAGAAGAGTCTCTACGGGCTTAAGCAAGGGCCGAGATGTTGGCAAGAACGCTTCGGAGGTTTCCTGCGGAAACACAATTTCAAAGTCAGCGCGGCAGATCCATGTCTCTACATCAGGGAAAGAAATGGCAAAAAGATTCTACTCGTTGTTTACGTAGATGACGGACTCTCCGAAGCAACAGATACGCAAGATTTGGAAGAATTTTTGGACGAGCTAAAATCAGAGTTCAAAATTGTCTCAAGCAAGGCTGAGTGCTTCTTGGGACTTGAAATCAAGAAACAAGAAAATGGACTAAAAATTAGTCAACAAGGGTATCCCACAAGGATTTTGGAGCGATTCAGATTCACGGATTGCAAAGCTGTTTCAACCCCACTTCTCAAGAATTTGGAAATTACGACAGCAGGGAAAGAATCAGAGACGACTGCGTTCCCTTATCGCCAAGCCATCGGAGCTCTCATGTACCTCATGCTTGGAACTAGGCCAGACTTGGCTTTCAGCATCGGATTTCTTTCAAGAACGCTTGAAAATCCTGCAAAAGAAAACATTGTTCAAGTGAAGAGGGTTTTTCGTTACATTTCCGGTACAATCAACGTTGGACTAGTCTATCGGAAACAGAAGAAGGGAATCCTCGAATGCTACAGCGATGCTGACTTTGGTGGCTGTACTAAGACCGGAAGATCTACATCAGGGATCATCATCATGTTTGCTTCAGGAGCCATATCATGGAAAAGTCAAAGGCAGGCTATGGTGGCCATTTCTACTACTGAGGCTGAGATCGTAGCAGCAAATGAAGCTGCAAAAGAAATAATTTGGCTAAAGAGATTGTTCCAGGAAATCGACAGATTGGACCGAGCCCCGAATTCCATCGCAGGACCAAGCACATAGCTAACAAGCATTTCTTTATCAAACAAATCCCGACTGAGGAACAACTCGCTGATATGATGACGAAGCCGATCCTCAATACTCGTCTCCGGATTCTTTGCAACAGGATTGGACTCTTCTGAAGGAGGAAAAACACCATTTATTTTTACTTTATATAGTCATAAGTCATAAGTTTAGAATTTGGAATTCTCACAAGGGAAAGTGTTGAAGATAAATGTTTCTAATTCAAAATTACCCGCCAAGTCAGAGGGCCCTTGAAATATCATATCGATAGTACGATAGTATCGAATTATAAACACATAACTAATCATAACCTAAAAAGCTGTTGAAGAGGGTGAATTAACACGCGGTTGAGTTTTCAATAAATATTGTTTATTTACTGGCCTAAATAACAAATAAATAAAAGTTATAATACAGTTGGCAATCAATCGTACAACCAACCGCACTACGAAAGCAAGTTCTTTAGAAATGTTATTGGGAAAGGTAGCATAGAAAATGTTATTGATATGCCAAACGTAAGAGCGCAAGCTGCAAAGAATGTATTAGCCAGTGCAGCTTATGATAAAGAACAATTTGATAGAAATAAGGCAAAAGTAACAAAGCACAAAGTTGGAGATTTTGTGTTACTTAAAAGCGAAGAAAGACACCAGACCAAGTTAAGTCCAAAATTTAGGGGGCCTTTTGAAATAGTAAAAGTTCTAGAAGGTGACAGGTACATTTTAAAGTCTTTAACTAATAAAAGAAATTATAAATATGAACATGAGGATTTAAGAAAATTACGATCGAAAAACAAGCCTTCTATTTTGTGAAACTGTTAATATGATAATTTGTTATGAATTAAGATAAGAAAATTGGATTTTGTTATGAAACTATTTAATGTTCAGTCTAATAATTAAAAGAAAGAAAGAAAATTCTAAGGTTGTTATTTTGTACACGAGGTCGTGTTAGGGTCAGGATGGCCGTGTCGGCGCATTAAAACTGCGTGGTTGTGAATGTATGTGTGTGTGTGTGCGAAGCGACGGCGTTGCTCGCTGACGCCAAATTGTTGTCGTCTTAAGAAGTACCGTTATAGCGGGGCGACAGCGTTGTGTCACTGTCGCCGAGCGTGGTTTGGTAGTAGGCACAGCAGATAGAGATTTAGACGCGGACAGTTGCGAACTAGAACTTGGAGTGTGTGCAAGGCCGAAACTCGTTGCGCTAATATAATGGAGAACAAGAGATAGAAGAGTTAGGGATAGTAAAGCAAGGATGGTATAGTAGGGATGGTACAATATCCTAAAGAAATATTATCTTCTTTGGACTATGTATATGTCGTCACTCGGGTGGGAGTTGCCTACAACACACGGCGGCGATACGCCAACCCGCCTTCAATACACAAGCCACTAGTGTATATTCCACTCAAAACGCATACTGGGGAATACAAGTACATAGATCGCTTACCGCAGTATAACCACTCACACTCCATGGCTTTTGACGACAAACTCACCACGAGCGCGCCATATTTATCTATCTAATGCCCGAACTCTTCATGAGGACACAATACCAAAATTCCAATACTAAATATTAAACTAACGATAATCGACCTGCGACAGTGAACAATGATTTTGAAATGTTTTTGTTTATTTTTGGTGGTGGAAAATCGATAGAACATCGGTGTTTTTCGCCAAAAACATCGAAAACATTAATGTCCACAAACATCGAAATTTCTTCACCTCCATTACTTTTTTTATGCTATATGAAATATATATATAAGCCCATGGGAATCAAGTATAATATGAAATACCTTGATCAATATTCGGCCGTTCCTAAAGATGTATGAATGGTATTAAGAGTATACGTATTTTTTTTTTAAGTCAATCTAAATATTATATCATTAACAGCCGACCATACAATTTGTAAAAATAAATTTACATATCAAATAAATATGAATATGGCCCAAGTAGCGCGTAGGCTAGTGAGTAAAGTCCGCTCTGAATTTAACTCATCGTCATTTTTTCGATCACATTTTACCTATTATCCCACTTTGGGAACTGGGAAAAAAATGAATATGTTTAGCGCCATAAATAACGCATTGGATTTAGCACTTAATAATGACCAATCGTCATTGCTGTTTGGCGAGGATGTGGGATTCGGTGGAGTTTTTCGGTTAGTGAAACAATTTAAAAATAAATGATACCCTATATACTTTGATTCCACAGGTGTTCAGTTAATTTACAAGACAAGTACGGATGTCAGCGTGTTTTTAATTCTCCTTTATGTGAGCAAGGAATTGCTGGGTAATTACAAATTATAATTATCCATTAAAACAACCTCAGAGCTTTTCATTCCTTTAATTTTCCCCATTAATATTCATACATATGTACCTACGCACATAGTTTTTGAACCCAATTACACATTTTATAAATGTATGTACATATATACGTCGAATGTACAAGTTAGCAAGAAACCCCCGAGATTATGAAGCTCCGTAATATAAGAGTTGTGCACTACACCCGTCGTGGGCAACTGCCCCACAGCAATGGCCAGCAGCGATCTCTTGATTCTTGTACGTTTGCATGGTTGCTCAAAGCAGACTATGTCGGCTATGCCTAGTTAGTTTACTTTAAGTTTAGTTCCGTTTGTATCCCCAATAAAGTAAGAGCAAACAGCTGAGATAACCCGCCATTAACTTCCTATACGATTATCACTGACTGAGTCCTCTAGGCCAACGGTGTTGGGACAACAGTCCTTCCTCATATCATAGTCATCTTAATTCTGCAAGTAGATTGAAGAACCAGCGGTTAGCAGCTACCCCTCCACTGAGCCCTAGTTGCACTGAAAATCTCTGAAGAGCATTAAAAAGTCCCTAGGCTGGTGGATTGTAGTAGCCGAAGGCAGCAGCCCACACTAGCGGATCCAAAAGGGCCATGACGAGTATCATCTTTGTCCCGCACTGGACCGTTTATTCCAATGGCACCCAACAAAATAATCTTTTGCTTACAGTTTATCAGAAACTTAACCTTAAGGGCTTACAGCCCTTTTTAGAAAAAAGCACGCTTACTTACTAACTGTGACGTCACTGTCCATGCTAAGCTTTATAACATACATCTCTTAATAAATTGTGATATAATGTTCCGGTTTGAAGACTTAAATAAAAAAAAATTGTCAAAAATGTTTCACGAGGTCAAACAAACACATCCATTTTTTTAACTTTTTAGCTTTGTGGGCGATAGATTAAAAAAAAATAATTCACCTTGGTAGCATTATTGAAACCTTCTGCTTAATTCGATTTTTCTTTCACTTATAGCTCCCGAAACCTCAGGGTTTCTTCAAAAAGCGCAAACCTTTTTTCGAGCTTGGTGGCAGAATTGGGTGCGCTTAAGATTATACTTGCCCAATCCCAATTTTCTAGCGATTTCAACGAATGAATATTTCCCAATGGGCGTCGGGTCAGAAAGAGTAAAAATACACAATTGTGGCTGCGTTTGTCGAGCGCCAGCAGGATATTCGAAAACTAAAAATGTTGATTGACACAGGATCGGTGCAGTCAAGCTCCTAAATGAGCATAAAAATGTAACACATGTTGCCTGCCCATCCATTCACCGTGAGTTCAATGCTCCATGAGAATTTTCAGAAAAGTTTCCATGTTCTTTATATTAGACACCGTCAGGAATCTGCTAGCGCAGGCGGGTGCTACACTGCTGCTGAACAGTAATATTACGTACGGCAACAAAATCGAAATCCTTGAGCAGTTAGGGATGACTACAAGCGAATGACATAGAAAGGGATTGAGGCGTTTAAGACCTCTAATGAGAGCTATATTTTAATACTGTATTCAATGCAATCGCACCAAAGACCATAACCCGGTTTATGCAATACCTTACCCTTTTCCAAATGGGGTAGAGATTTCGCGAACAAAATAAGTTAATGATTAAATGATTGCATTATCAGGCCTTCTCAGTCGGGTTGGGAAAGAAAGGGCTGGATAGAAATGGCATAAAACAACTGGCTCATTATTGACTTCAAAAAAATAAAACCTTCATGATTATTACTTTCAAAAAATGACGAAAGTACGATACGCACCCAAAGAAACAAGAACTTGGAACCATCCGTTCACTCACAGGGCAAAGACCCCTTGACTTAAGATTTAATACACCCACGTTACTATTACAGTTCCAATCCAGATAGGGATTTAAGGGTGTTAAAAGTATGCGACGAAGTAAATCTCGAAACTAATAACAGATTCGACAACAAAACATTCCCATTATATTCTGATGAAAGAAACATTTTACCAAAGTGGCGCACAGATAAATGCTAAATATAAATTTAAAAAAAACTTATAGACAGTGATGAGCAGCGCCAGAAAGAGCTACTCTCACTTAATAAAAACAGAGTACAGAGTGTAAATTGATTTGGTGGTAAAATCTATATTATACATTGAAATTAATAGATATACTTTAAATAATTTTGCTCATCAATAATTGCATTTTAATACATTTTTGGCTTCTTGATCAAAAATGATCATAAATTTATTTAATTTTGTTTGTCCCATTCTGTTATTATACCTGTTACTTGTAGAGAAAATTGGTGTCTATGGTTTGTAGTTAGAAAATCTAGGTAGAAGAAAACGTCCGACCATATTATTGGTCAGTGGTAATAAAATGTATTATTTATTAAACAAGGGCAAAAAACAGCAACCACTTTTCAAGCTCAAGCTATTTTAACCTCCTATTTACAACCTTCTGAACCGACGGATCGCAAAAGCGGAATGGTCACATACAATGCACGAACTGCCAGAAGACATACAAGCAGATACTGCACATTATTTAAGAGGAATAGCGGGGGTCCCTCGCTGCCGTCCAGTTGTTCCTCGGCCGATGTCAGGCAGTTGAATGGTCTCTTCTTGGCTAAAAGCAGGTGCTCCGGTTTAAAGGCGCTTTTGGTGATGATCGGCGAGTTATACAATGGGGCTAGTGTCAGTTTGTTTTGCTCGTGATTCCTCAGTCGATGTCCGCTAGATGAAGAGGCTATTCTTGGCCAGCGGCCGGTCTAATGGTAGCGGTATAATGCGACATCTGGATAAATGCTGTTTCTGGCTCACTTTTATGTGTGTTAGGCTTCTGATATACTTTTGTAGATGTGGTTTAAACAGTTGTGAATTTTGAGGAAATCCGGTTATATTATCAGTTGTTGAAAGTGTGACGTGTGTGTTACTGCTGCTTAAACTTTCCCTCCCCTCCTCCCTCCACGTCCACTTAAACTCAAGCCAGACTCCTCCCTCCACTTCCTAGACTGTTATCTCCGCTCCTCTTTTCACTTCCACTCATCTTAAAGTCGCCCTCTACTAGCCCTAAACTCACCATGGGCTCTTCCCTCCAGGCAGTGTGTAGTATGTTAAGAATGTATTATGTTTTATAAGTTACTACAAACTGTGGGCTGAAATGATAACGATTTCCACTCTTCGTCACCGCTGCAACATATACATCATCGTTGAAAGTTTTATATATTTATATAAATATTATTAAATATTCTCAAGACCAAAGAGAAGAAAGAATATTTTGTGTGTGTGTTTCTTTTTGTTTTGTTTTTTGTTGAACGCTATAAATATATTATTTTTTAGAAATCACAGCCATATTTTTAATACAATTAAAATATTGCTATGCCAACTTGAAAAAAATTTTTTTAACGATTTTGTTCGTTCTTCCAGTGTAAAGAGGAGCAGACCTAATAAAGCTTTTTGCTCAGGCGAATTCGGTCGCCGCTCTCCATCTCTCGGATTGTCTTCATCTCTGTCTATAACATAAGGTATTTTAAGTTGAATAAAATAGTTGAAACGAGAACTCCCTTTCGTTCGCACGTACTGTGCCCTTTCGTCGAATAATAAAACAATCAAACCCTGCATAATTTTTAAAATTAAATAAAATCTCTTATTTAAAAACCCATGGTGGCCCTTACGTGATTGCAGTCGTTTGTTTTCGGTGTTTATTTTAAAAAACAATAAACAAGTGTCCGATATAAACCCACGCGTCGGTCTAAATTACGCAGCCAGAAGCCCACTAGGAAAAACGATATACATGGAGCCAAAGAGGGAATTTGCTGAGCGGGCCGAATCGGACATACAGGTATAGAATGTTTAAAGTTGAAAGCTAATCTGTGACGTTTTTCTAAATCATTTCGGCCCATCTGTCAACTTTTTGCATTCGTGTAAAATCGATAGATAGTGAGCATTCTAGCCAATAATTTAACACAAATAAAGTTTGCATATACTAACAAATTATTTATTATTTATTAAACCTGCCAATAAATATTATCAGATAAAAGTGAATCCCTTTGGGTGTTAAATTTAATTTCGTCGTGGACCCAACTTGTGTCTTAATTACCCAACTTATCGTAGTTGAGGGTTCAATTTGAAGACAGGAAAAAGTTATTTATTTCGTTTTTTACCTTTTGCTCGAAGAAAATCGCAGTACATTTTTGCGCGCATTTTCTTATATATTCGTTGTTTTTTTATTTATCGGCCAGTGCATCATTTTTCGCTAAGTGTCGTCACATATAAAGGAGAGAGCCACCGGCCGAATATACACCATGCACACTCTCGCACTGATATCGCTGCCATCCCTTTCGACCTCTCTTTGCATTTTCGTTTCGGTCGCTGCACAAGTGCAAGCGTTGTTGTTGTATTTCGCAGCGTTTTTGGTATTCTGGCTGAGCTTGTGCTACCCTTTAAATTTTGTGCGTGCGGCGTGTTAGTTCCGACAAGTCCCCTGCTTACGTTCGGAATATACCACTCGAATATTTTTTTTTGGATTAAAATAAATTTTTTATAACGCTCTTCGATTCTTGAAAAGTTTCAATAAACAATTAAATGGCGAGCAAAGACATCGAAGCTTAAAAATAAACGACATGGAATATTGAAGTGTATATCTCGAACACAGCAGTATTTACAAGAGGGTCGACTATCTCTAAATCCAGTTGAATTGGAATATCGATTAGATTAGAAACTGCCGTTATGGCAAAATCATTACTGATTTCGCTAATAAGCAAAGGCAGGCTTATGAGCACCGATGATGCTGCTCCGCCAGTGGAGCGCACTTCCCAATGCTGTTTGTCGAGCGCTCCAACATTCGGCGGAAAGCACTCCGAATTTAACAATTTTATAAGCGTTTTCAAAACATTTGTCGACAAAGATGACACTCTGCACGATATTGAAAAATTCAATCATTTGATATCGTGTCTGGCTGGCGACGCTTTAGGCACAGTCAGGGCGTTTCAAGTCACTTCGGTCAATTACCCCAAA